ATTAAGAAAAGCGTCTGAATCAAACCATCTCTTCTTTTAGCTTCTCAAGACATTCTATCCCTCTGAGGTATTCAAGTATCTGATGGATTGGTTTCCATCCGTTCTGGAAGGCACTCACGCCATATACAACATTTTTATCAAACTGTACTTTTTCTTTTCCCCCGTTATATAGGAGGCAATCTTCTGGCCAGTGTAACCATATGCCCCAGCTGTCCATGCTGCTACTGCTGGCGCTCTATTCTCGGGGGGTGTTACGCTGCTCCGGCCCCTCCACCTCGTGCGGCTCCCACCTGGTGGACGCCTCTAAGTCTCGTATGGGGGGCTGGTCTTTTTCTACAGTCCAACAGACCTCATAAGCGAATCCTGGATGACATGCTCGGTAAAGGCCCAAGAACCTTTTTTCACACAAGTGAGGCCTCACATATACAGCAAACATAACAATACAGGAGCGGGAGCGTGGGCCGTCACTAGAGATGAGGTATATTGCTTCATAAGTTATAAGATAGAAAAATCAATCAAATTGAGGGTAAACGATGGGTTGATATTTGATGAAAAAAAAACAGCTCTTCCGTAGGGTTTCCATTTAATTGAGTTAGCCAGCTCATTCCCTTAAAACAGGAAGCCTCCAACATCGCTTATCATCAAGAGGAAATATGAAGGGTAATATTATGCAAGGTTGTTATGTAAATATGTTATTGGGCTTTTTTCTTTAACAACTAAGATTTGTTAGAAAATGTTTTCAACTTTAATTGACTGAATTCATTCAAAAATTAGGCTTACACATGAATACTGTTTTATATATTTGAACATATATATTTAAGAAGTACAATAGTAGATGTATAATTTGTGGGCCATATATTCATTATACTTTTTTAATTTGCTGAGGGCCGATTCAAAATGGTCCGCGGGCCGCATTTGGTCCCTGGGCCGTAGTTCGGACACCCCTGGTGTAGGAATACTCCGTTACAAGTGAAAGTGCTGCAATCAAAATGTTACTCAAGTAAAAGTAGAAAAAGTATTGGCATCAAAATATACCAAAAGTAAAAGTACTCATGCAGATTGGTCCATTTCAGATTAAAAATATATTAGATTTGTTTTGATTATATGTATGTATGTATTGATCATTAAAGTGTTCTCAAAGCTGGTAAAGGTGCAGCTAGTTTGAATGACTTTGTACTGCAGGGTAGCTTGTGAATTTACTCCAGGTGGAAATAAAGTCTGATTTAACACTTGATTATATTTAACCTCATTAATCCAAATCTGTAAAGTAACTAAAGGTACAAAATGAATGAATGAAAGTACAAGTAGCATAAAAAGAGAAATACTCAAGTAAACAACAAATACCTCAAAATTCTGTGTGAGAGTTCAATTTATAAATGGCATTACAAAATAAGAGATAGTTGTCCATGCTGAAGGTTCAGCCCCACTTTTTTAAAAGTCCAAACCGACCTCACAAGCGAGATCTGGAAGAGATGCTCGGTAAGGCAAAGTAAACTCCAGGAACAGCTTTGTTTAACTTGTGGAAAATAAGTTCTAATGGCCCCCTTGATGGCAGGAGTTCAGAGAGGAACAGTGCGACATTGCCCCCGACATACAAGGCTAGTTTTGTGTCCCAGCCCGCTGCCCACTTTCAAAGTTCACTCTCAGCCTAATGAGAATGCCAATTTGGATCCTAGCTAGTGGAGAAAATAACTTGCTTGAAACTAAATCTATGTATTTGTCCAATCATTAGTGTGCAAAGCCCGTCTCCGGCCCCTTTTGAATTCTCATTGTTGTGGCTAGGGCTTTTGGTTTTATATCTATGGTGTGACAAATCCAATAATCATGCAACTTGCAAAAATCCCCCAGCTTCCTCATTACATCATTCCCAAAACACATTATTTGGATGTTCCGCATCAAACATTCCATCGATGTCTTTGAAGTGAACTTCAGAGGTGCGAGCTATGATATGCATCTATTGGGATCGCCGTCATATTCTCGTCTTGAAGTGGAGGCTAACAAGATCGAATGGATTTGGGAGATTAGATTACCTAGCCATTAAGTCTCCATTCAAGTGTGAACAGTTTAAAATGGTAGTTTTGAGTGAACAGCAGGATTTAACACACGGCTATGGAATCTTTCTCAAAAGGGTTCCTGTCTAAAAGGGAGCAGCGGCCGCGGAGGGCTAATTCTGGCCACAAGGAGACGAAGGTGAAGAGAGGCATCGTGGAGCAGTGCTGCCATAAGCCGTGCAGCATTTACCATCTGGAGGGCTACTGCAACTGACCCATCTCTCCACAGCTAGCACCGCTCATAGCTTGTAAAAAGTCCATTTGTGGACCCGGTACTTGCTGGCTATGTCGTATCAACTAAAGGAAATAAAGCTTCATGACCCATAACCCGAGGCTCCTCTCTGCAGAGAAGTGAGTTTGTGTTCTTTGTAGCAGATATATATTGTGGATGTGCGCAATAGACTTGTGCTTGGCTCCATCTGTGGCTGTAGTCCTACAGTGCCATCTATTGGCTCAACACAGACATGACACATTGTGTTTTCACACTTGGGGAGTTAATAAATCTCATTAACGCTTTTTATTAAGAAGAGTGTTAGATTCTGTCTTTATTTACAAAGAGGAAAAACAAGAGCTATACAGCATGAAATGTTCACTGTTCTGCTAACCCTACCCTAAGAAATGGTAAGGTAGTTAAAAGAATACAAAATAAATTCACATCGCATATTTAAATGCTGACTGTCATTGTCCTCTGGATTATGTGTCTACTTGCAGCCATCTGTTTGCTCATTCTTTTCCTGCACACGTACAATCTGCTCATTACAATTATTTGTAAAACTTGCTGGCTCTATGTAAAAGTCTGGCATCAAAACAGCTGAGAAGAAAACCAGTTAGAACAAAATGGGACAGAAAACATTCGAACAAATCAGTATTAAAACCATAACGTTAGATGTAATATAGCAGTCAGTTTCCGTCTGGCAGAAGAGCTCCATTATGCATAATGGTTTCCTGACAAATAGAAGAAAAAAAATTATGCATTCACACAAATATTTTAAGGTGACATTCAACTATATTACATATTGTCATATCTCCTAAGATCGCATATATGTTCAGGGTGTAGCAGTTTAGCACTCACCTTTAAGAGTTTCAGCTGTCATGTTCTCCTTGTCGTGCTTGAAGGCTTTGCTGGGATCAAACTTGCGGCGAGGAGTAGCGGGGGGGTTTGACTTGAGCTGCTCCAGATCACTCTTCTGCCGGTTCACCTGGGACCGCAGCTTCGCGACCTCCTACACGCACAAACAGACAGACACATTTTAGAGAGTACAGGCACTTCGACTGAGACAAAGTGTATGAGGGATGGAGTGCAGTCAGTGCTCCTCTGGTAGAGCTCACCTGCTTCAGGGCGATGTTCTCGTCTTTCAGCTTCATCACGTGTTTGATCTTCTGCTTCTGGTTCTGGTGGCCCAGCAGACGGACGTAAGCATCAGACAGCTTGTTCAACTCCTCCTGGTTCGCTCCATTTTCATTGAGCAGTGCGTTTCGCTCGGCTGCAAACGCGTTCAGCTGTTCCTGTGGGTACATGAGAGGGTTTTAATGCGCTAAATTAATTCAACTAAAACATGGAATAAAACTGCTGTTCTCCCCAATTTGGGGAAATGAAACAAGCTGTGCACACACCACTGCTAATTAGAGCAGTGAGACTAAATCAAAACAGTGGAATCTGTAAAAAACAAAATAACGAGCTGAAAGACGCCAAAGTGAGTTGGTACACAGAAAAATAAATCGGCAACTATTTGGATAATTGTTAAGTAATTTTTCACGAGAAAGTGAAAGAAAAGTATATTTTTCTGGCTCAATCCTGTTTTAAATTGTATTAGATGGGGACATCTTTGGGTTTTTGACTGTTAAAACAGAAATCTAATCACTATGGATGAGGAAAAATGTTCTTCCCAGTTTCTCAACTTTAAACACTAAATGATCAATTCAATTCTAGGAAAATAACCGGCAAATAAAAAAGTAATTGTGTAATTCTTGGTTGCATCCTTACTAAACTGTCACTGGAATTGCAGAGATAGACGATTCCAATTAGTATAAAAACATGGATTTAAAGGTCCCATGTCATGGCCATTTCCACTGATCATAATTCCATTGTTGAGGTCGACTAGAATAGATTTATATTGTGCAATTTTCCAAACTCACTTTGGTTTCTCATACAGCATCTCTGTAAACTACGTGTATTCACTGAATTTCACTCTCTGCCTTTAACGGCTCGTTGTAGCTCCAATAGCTCCAGCCCGTTCTTTCTCTTCTCTTCCAAACTTTAAGTCTATCCGAGGATGTCCACCTTTTTCCCTTCGTAACCTCCATACTCCCTCCGTCGGCGTCGTCCCCGTCCTTATCTCACGAGTCTGAACTTGCGTCTCTAACTCTCTTTACTCTCCTTTACTTCTCAGAAGACAGAGGTTCCCCTTCAGTTCTCGCGAGGTCCGGAGACGAGACCTTTTACCTTGATTTGGCACCGTCTCGTCCTCTCTTTAGCGCGACCTCCTCCAGCACGTCCCGCCGCACTTGAAGGTCCTCCTAATCTGTAGTACCTCCTCTTCTGGGACTGAGACGTCGCGGTCAACCTCCTTGTCTCTGTTCTGTCCGCCCGAGACGTCCTCGTCCACCTAAGACTGAGCGTGCTTCCACTGGCGACCGGTCACCCCTCTACCTGCCTCGTCGCCCGTCCTTGGAGTTCTCTGGGTCTATTGACTTCGGGTCTCTTTTCCACTCGCCTCAAACCTAAGGAGAAAACACACGCGTCAAAAATTACTCCAAAAAAAAAAAAAATAACGTCGAGAAAAAATTGGGACGCAAAAGAAGAAGAGGTCGAGGGTGTCAAGTCTTCTTACTTTTCACCTCCTTTGTTATATCTCTCCGAAAAACGCTTTCAGTCCGGAAGGTCCACTCACATATTTTTTCTTGTAGCTAATAGTAGAAAAAAATTTTTCCAGGTAACAGTTACGAAAAGGCCAATAATGGCAGGGGCAACACAATACTTCCAAAAATACCGTACATTTGTCAGAGTCTCAGTTTTGGGAGTTTCAGTGGGAGCATCATTCATTTATGAGATTTGTTGTCTTTTATGGAGAGGGGTTTTTCCGGAGCACACCTCTATGCAGTGACAGTATACTAAGAAAGGCCCATTGCAGTTACTACATTACGCAATGGCGCCTTGGTTTACCTAGGTTAGGCGCCTCGGCAATGCAATTCGGTGGGGCCGACTACCAGGTTTTAACTTGGTTAAGTGCCTTGATAGGAAGGTGTGTGTTGTGAGTCACGTGACGTCGGAACGGAGCGTAAAGAGCGAGGGACCGGACGTCGACTAATTGTTGTCAACCCTAGCGCCGCTTTAAGAGAGGACGGTCTGGGTATTGAGGTCGCAAATAGTTGGAAAAAAACAATTAGTATAGTTCGATGTGAATAACAAAAAATGAAGCCGACACTCTGAAACACACACGAGTCCCCACTCAAACCGACACAAACGACAGCGATTTGTTCCTTTGGTGTGGAGGTGCCTCGAGCGCGCTAAGTGTTGCAGGCTTGGTTAGTCTCGGTTACACGAGTGTC